CTACTACTACTACTACTACTACTACTACTACTACTACTACTACTACTACTACTACTACTACTACTACTACTACTACTACTGCTACTACGTCAGAGCTGTATTTTAACCTCTATATAAACAATCTACGATATTTATTCGCAAACATACTATCTGATCCATTTGTTTTTCTTAATCTCGGGAACAAAAATAAATTCACTAGAGAGGTGTTGACGCGTGGCGGGAATAATAACTTTCGGTCACCGTAATGAACGCTTCCGTAGTCGTTTCTTATAAAGTCCCTAGGTTCGATAAACCGACGGGCGGAGGGACGGCGAAACCGAGAGGACCCTGGAAACAAAGTTGAGCGCGGTAGCTCACCTGTTTAGGATTGTGCAAAATTTTGTGCTTTTTGCCAAGGACATATACCTTACTATACATGTAGGGATATATGAACTAGCTCAGAATTCAAAAATACATTTGTATTTTTCATCACTAAATGTAATTTTTCTTAACATGAATATTTTCAAGTCTTTCAGAAACCGCTTGACGTATCTCATGAACCAGGCCAGCAGCCATTTTACACTAACTTTATTGATGAGAATAGCACAGACCATAAAAGCTTATTCAGAGCTACCAAACAACCCCCTTGCTAAGAAAGAGGAGTTTTCGTTTCCTAATTATCGGGGCAAATCAAAACTAGCCAATGACATGTGCGGTTTTTTTGTTCGAAAGATAGATAGAATTCGTTCTGATATTGATTCCGTAGACATGGATCCAAGCGCCCGCAATGCGCTACCTCCTGATCAGGAAATAGATGCTGCGAATGCTTTTTATTCCTTCCAACCTCTCTCAGAAAGCGAAGTTTCTGCACTCATCCGCATCATCAGTACTGACGTTGCTCCTGTCACTGTGGCAACAAATTTGGGGAGATGGTTCAATTCTAACTTTAATATCTAGGCACAGATCCACAACATTTGCAAATCTGGCTTTTCCATTTATACAATATTGGGTGTATCCGAAAGTATCTGTCCCAGGAATCTGCACGCACTTTAGTCCATGCTTTTATCATTGGTCGTATAGATTACAGCAACGGCTTTCTATTTGGTTTACTCTCTGTTCATCTACTTAATAAACTGCAACGCTTGGGGAATACAGCTGCTCGCTTATATCCAATGTTCCTGGCTACAGTCACATAACACCGGTACTATGTTCGTTACATTGGCTTCCTGTCAAATTTCGTATTGATTTTAAAATACTTCTTCTTACTTTTAAAGCTGTCTATGGTCATGCGCCTGGTTACTTGACTGATTTGATTGCTATTAAAGAACAGCCGCCCTATTATCTCCGTTCAGCTAACGGTCTTATCTTAAAGTATCCTAGTTTAAAACTGAAAGAGACTTTGGGGAATCATACTTTTTCATCTGCTGCCCCTAATTTATAGAACAATCCGCCCCTTCACATCCGTCTTGAGGACAATTTTGAACGAATTTTGAATTTTTGAACTACCGGTTATGTTATATCGCTTCGAGATTCATTCTGCCTTAGAACTTTCGCGCATGGCTTTATTAGGCTGGCCTACCGCCTCGCAGCCTCTCGTCTTTGCGAGGCTGCTCGTTGGCAATTATTATTATATTATAATTATCATTATTATTATTATAATTGTCATTGTTATTATCATCACACTCAGACACATACAATAATTGGTAATTACAATATGCTGATTTAAAATATAATAAAACCTTGGATATCTAATACCAATAATCTATTCTCGTCACTCTCATTTTGTTAGTTTGTGGCGGTCCGCTGATGGGAGTTTCCGGGACCTTCACAACTCCGTTTTTCCCGGCCAACTATCCTAATAACTTAAACTGTGTATGGACAATCAACGTTCCACCAGGAAATAGATTCGTCCTTTCCTTTCCGCCGGATTTCGCTCTTGGTTCAGGGTGAGTCATTGTTTCTTCCAAAACCCCTGGAACAGGCTACTTAAGTCAAATGAAGACCTTGTTAGCAAAATTCGAAGCGGCACCTTTACATACCTTTTGTCAAGGTAAAATATGTAAGACTAACGAAAGCTGTTTCAAAAAATATATTGCGAAGTTAATTTCAGGATAGTTCAACAAGCAATACATTTTTATTTACAGTGCGGCGAGATAGGAATGAAAGCACTTGTTATTCAGTAATACCAAAGGAAGATTTTGCGCGGATTTTTATAAATCGAATAGATTGAACTAATAATTTTGGAGGCCTTTGGAACTCAATGCCATGTTTTTCCCTTATATATTGCACAAAGCTCGCTCGAATCAAGCACAGAAGTTTGATTCATTTTATGACACGTATATGGCATTATGCTTGTAACCTTACTTCAAATGTCAATTATCTACTTATTTGTTTTTCTCAGAGACTCTTTTACTTTTTCCGTTGGTGCCAGTACCTTTACTATTACCGACGCCGGTTTCCCAAGTGGAGGAGACGACGATGAACCGTCATATTATGACGAGTTTGTTAACCAAGACAATGGCAATTTTTATGATTATTTAAATAAACGCCGTTTTTATTACTACTATGACGGAAGACGTCGAAGAGATGATGATGATGGTCCCATTTCTGTCCGATCGAGGAGCCGCCAGGTAGTGATCCAAGGCTCAAACCAACCGATAATGGTCCAGTTCATCAGCGACTCCAGTGGAACCGCACCAGGAATTAGTGTTGCCTTCAGAGATGAAAGATCTCCAGGTTAGCTTCTACTCTTATAGAGATTTTCTCTTTATTAATTGTACTGTTCTGCATCGTGTTGCATGGGTTGTTTTCTCGTGTAATACTGCAGTGTCGCCCGGCAGTGCTATTAGAGCTCTTAAGTTAGGCGGAAAATAAAACGTAACTATGTTCTCGGCCGTTTGCTTGGTTTAAACCTTGGCTAGAAATTAGTTGCTGTATTCTTAGTAAAAATACATCAGCACACAGAAGGGCTTTGAGGAGGCACTTTTAAAACTGCTCTCGCGTTTCCATTTATAAAATAGCACACCCGGCCAGCCATAGTTGGGGGTCCAGCAAGGGAATCCAGGGAAAGGAACCTTAGGTACTCTAATTCACACCCTGATCCCAACATTCATAGCGGAGCTTTAGGACAGCGGAGCACTATGGGTAAGAAAGTTTGGTTATCCGTGTATCCGAGAAATTTTGGTAGTCACGTCCGAACCACAGGACAACCAATGTGACATGACCTTTTTTACTTTGGGTGGAGCCTGCAACCGGTGTATAACTTGGCTACCCAGACTTTTAAAGAGAAAAAACAACATCAAAGCCGAGTCTTTTCTTTTTCGACTAAATCTTAATGTCTACGCTGACATGGATAACAGAGAAAGAGCTGGAGCGAGAGATAAAAAACAAAGCAGACGAATTTCGTTAGAGACACAATATGAAAATTTTAAAGCGGTCAGGGTGAGAAAATGAGAAATGTTGGTATCCAGTGAGGTGAAAATGAGGGGCAGTGAAAAAGAAAGCGAACAGCAACACAAGCAACAGAATTTTTAGTCAGAACACACGACACTTCTTCAGTAAAACATGTAAATAGAAAGTTTCACCTTGCAGTTGTGCAAAACAACGACAGATGTACAAAAAAGTGTGCTGCACGTGCAACGTCGTTTTTTATTGCTAATAAGACCCATTGTTTTTCTTTGTTTTTCCCTTCTCGTTGCCTTCGCCTTTTAGCAGCAAAGGATTTTATTTTGGGCGAGTAGACTATTAGTGTAGTAACGAGAGCTTCGCTTTTAGCCCTGGCTAAATAGTATATATTAGACCGGAGGGTTATGTAAAAAAGTACTCAGCCAAACACTTTGAATTTGGAGTAACTGACACCAAAGAAACTTAAATCTTATGTTGCAAGTTGCCTGTCAATTAACTATTTGACTTGCTCAAATAGACAATTCTGAACAAAATTATTTTCAATTTTGAATACAAGACTTAAAAGGATGGAAAGTACTGGCTGCAATACCAAAAGTCCCTGCATCTGCTCATGTACCCTTAGTAAGTTCATGAATACATGGTCGCACTGCTACTTACGGCTAATTACCGACCCTACAGGAGGACATGATAGAAACTGTAAGGATCGTCAAATAGGGGACGACTAAATTCTGTATACCCAACTTTCAACGTAGAAACAGTGCATGAAGAATGGGAACGCTGTCTCCCGGATATGGAGATTCTATCTTTCCCACCTATTAAAAAATGATAAAACTGGTTTTTAGCGCAAGCGCGCTTAGCGAACATTCAATAATCTTGAGAAAGTGCACCCCGGATAGTTAATAGTTAGCATTAAATTTGGATGCAAATATCCTTGATAATCCCATTTTAATTGCATTTCTTTCTTAATTTGCAGATACAGATACATCTGGTGAGAGTGGTGGTGAGAGCTCGGATGAGGAAGAGTTGTAAGATGTTGATCAAAATACGGCGGCTCTAGGAGATACAATTGGGGGAGTGCGTCTCCTCATGATCAGAACGAGGATAAAATTTTTGAATGAGTCTTGACTTTTAAGCTTTGATCAATGTTTGTAAAAATCGCCTAAACTGATATAATCTGAGTAGTCTAAGGGCCTGTTTACATGGAGGTGGGGGACCCCAGGTAGGTGAAGTAACATGTGGCGGGTCACGCCACCTATCGTGTAAACGTGATCAAATCAAAATGAGCGTTTATATGGACAAGCGGGTTACCTCACCTACCAGGGGTTCTCCACCTCCATGTAAACAGGCCCTAATTACCCTATTTCTATAGAGCCCGTGAAATAGGTAGTAGAATACTGCGCACCATTATGCACTAATTCCATTGTCATCCTTTGTTTACTTGTGGCTATTTTGCACTTGTTGTTAGTATCTGTTTCACGGCTGAAGTAATATCATTTTATGTTTTCCCTTCGAATTAACGAGTAGGTGTAGGGTGTTTTCCCGACGCATGCTTTTGTCAAAGTGTTGTATACTACTTTATTAAAAAGCCTTTACAGTGAAACTACGCTCTGCAGGCTGAAATTTTGTAATTCGTGTGGGAATTGTTAATACGAGAGAACATTAAAATTTAAAGCTCTGTCCAAAGGCCTTAATGCTTCAGGAAGAGTGATTGAAAAATATGTATGCACACAACATTTTTAGTTTGCATTCACATTTATTGGGATTTATTGTACAGTTATTTATGTTGCTTTTGCGTGATCGGTCATTTTACTAATTCGACCAGAATCGTCCAGGGTTTTGGTTTCTTGTGCAAATAAGGGCTTTTGTTATTGAAACTGTATGAACCTTGCTGCGCCACAGATGGAACTAAACTCTGGGCTAAGCGCGTCTGAAAAACAGCAGCAAAACCCTAGTTCTGCCCCCGCTCTCTCCCCCCTCCCCCACCGTGTGTAACAGGGATTGAGTACAGGACTGGATTGTTAAACATGCCATTGTCTATTTGCCAATCAGGTTGAGGGGAAACTTGAAACGCATTTCCGGTATAGCAAAGATGACGAGACCGTGGCGTTTGAGTTAAAAAACTTTTTGGATTCAGTTTGAAAAATTGACTTATTCCAAAATCGAATCTTTGGCTAAAGAGCACAACTTCGTTCTTTATGAAAGCACTTTTCCTTCTAGTGGGCAATTTACATTTAATTATGTTGATTGTAAACAAGTCGCGGACATCATAAATGCAATGCCCTCTAGGCTTAAGGCTCCTGGGATTGACAGAGTGCCCAATCGAGTGCTTAAGGACAGCCTGCCTATCATACTTCCTTTTATTACGCCAATCGTTAACGCTTCTCTTTTATCTTCAACATTCCCAGAGGTCTAAAAAGCTGCCAAAATTACAGTTATTCCCAAACAAGGCAAACACGAACTTCCTAACAATAACAGACTAATTTCCCTGCTGCCTGCATTGTCAAGGGTTTGCGAGAGAGTAGCTTATAATCAGTTTGTCACCTATTTGACAACCAGTGAAGGCCTTACCACAAAACTAAGAGGCAACAAAAAGTGGTTCTCTACTGAAACATCTTTAATTGATACCACTGTCGCATTTCTCAAAAGAATGGTTGGTAATAAATTGACTGCCTAGGTACTTTTAGATATGAGTAAAGCCTTCTACTGCGTTGACCACCAAATATTGTTCCGTATGAAAAAAGCTTCGGCGCCTCGAACAGCTTGCTAAAATGGTTTAACACATACCTCACAAATAGATATCAAGTTGTACGAATTCACAGTTTCGTTTCTGATCCTCTGTCAATTGAATGTGGTGTTCCTCAAGGCAGTATTCTAGGCCCCCTATTATTTAGCATATACGTAAATGATCTACCAGACAATCCTCGGCATTGCTCTACAGAATGTTATGTAGACGATCAAAATTGTTTGTTTCCTTCAATTTACACGACTCCCTACGAATTGTACAAGAAATGAATGAAGATCTGCTGCAGGTGCCAACTCGTGCTTCGGAAATCTGCTATTACTGAATCCAGACAAGACAAAACTAATTATTTTGGGGAGCCGAAAGATGACCTCTAAGCTCCATGAATGTAATTTGTCCTTTTTGGGAAAGGACATCTCCTTAGTGCAATCAGCGAGAGATCTGGTTGTAATTGTTGATCCGAACTTAACATTTTATGACCATATATCGTCCTCACTGTAGCTTATGTGTTTGTGACCGCCGCCCAGTTAGCTCAGTGGGATAAGCGCCGGTCTGCTGAGTGGGAGGCCGTAAGTTCAAACCTAAATAACTGAGGAGAAAGTGCTGCCTTTGTAACAACATCTGCTAACGGTTTGACTTTCTAGTCTTCTCGGATAAGGACTATGAGCCGTCTCAGAAGCCCATGCACATGTAATGAAAAAAGGGAAAAGGGAAGTTAAAGAACCCACACACTCTTCGTAAAGAGTTGGGTACGTAGTGCCCGGTGTAGTGGTCTATCTCACTTTCAAACTCATGTATGGGGGCATCATTACTCATTCCTTCATTACTTGTAAACTGCACCTTAAGCAGTCTGGAAAAGTCCCCCAACCAGTGTTGAAAATTATCCCTGAAAAGCCCTGAGGGGAGTGGATAATATTATATTTACACACATACAAAGTGTCGGAAAGTTAGGCACATCTAGCGCAAATTAACCGTGTGAAACATTGATTAGACAAAAATACGTTATTAACCGTAATACATGCCTTACTTTTCAACGATATGTACTACTGCTCGAATGTTTGGGCAAATATCACAAATAAGAATGTTAGAAAATTGCAGGCTGTTCAAAACTTTGCTTGCCGAATCGTCAGCGGTGCGAAAAAAATATGATCAAGTAGCACCCCTCTTAAAGTTAAAGTTTAAGTTTAAGTTTAATAATACTTTGTCATGCTAATACAAGTAAATAAATAATATAGACCTTGTCACGGTTTTCGAAGCCATCTTGACGAGTAGGCAAACGCGTGAGAAATAACAGTGATTGTATGAGAATCTAATGTCAAATAATTTCCGTAAAACGGCTGTTCTGAAAAAAAATATGATTTGTAAACTAAAGCTTTACTCCTAAGGATTCTCTTGAAAAAATTTGAGGGCGTTACATGCACTAGAAGACCTAGAACCACTTTTTAAAATTTTCTATACATTTGTCTGTAAGAAAGTCCCGGAAAAATTACAGACAAATATATGGAAAATCTAAACAAAGCCTCTGGAGAAATTTAAGCACAGGTACGCCCCAAAAATTTTTTGGAGAATCCTTTGCTTTGTAGCTTTACTTTACAATTGATATTTTGTTCAGAACAGCTGTTTTACGGAAATTATTCGACATTAGATTCTCATACAAACACTGTAATTTCTCACGCGTTTGCCTACTCGTCAAGATGGCGTCGAAAACCGTGACAAGGTCTATTACAAAAAATACAAAAAGTACATGACTGGGGAATAATTGGGAAAACTAAATGCCCATACAAAGAGTATTCTCCAATATTAAACAAACTAAAAATTAAGAAGTAAAATATAAAAGGCCCATCCATACCTATCTCCACCAAGGTGAAGTTGTTCAACACAACTTGTATTACAGTATTACTATATGGCTGCGAGTCATTGGTCATCATGGATAAAACCTTGTCTTTCACTGAACATATCAACGAAATGTGCAAGAGGTGAGGTGGATTTATATTGCTGCCTTTCTCACGAACAGGAACCAGAGGATGAGGGTGGGGGAGGCTCTGTCCCCACCCATATGGCTGAATGGCGGAACTCCTCAAGAAACTAAAATGGCTCCTCTTCTGTTTTGTATTCTTGTGAATAGAATGGCCTCTAACTGTACAAATAGAGTTAAATATGTAGATGACGCCACAGTCCTGTAATTTGTTCCCAGGGTCTCTCCTTCATATTGAATTTTACTGTTTCGGATATTTACTCGTTTGCTTCCTCTAGGGGAATGGTTCTTAACGGTAAAAAATGCAAGGAAATGTGCATTAGTTTTTTGCAGTATTGCCCGTTTCCCCCAGCCCCTCTACTGGTTAGTAGCTCTCTGATAGAAAAGGTTTCCTGTTACAAGTTGTTAGGGGTTCACTTGTCCGAAAACTTAACATGGAACGAGCATGTCACTCATATTGTAAAGAAAGGGAGTAAGCGGTTATATGCAATACGCGCCCTTAAGAAGTGCGGACTAACTGATAGGCAGCTTATTCTTGTCTATTGTAGTATCATCAGGTCTGTTTTAGAATATGCGAGTCCCGCTTGGGCTGGCCTCACGCAATACTTAAGTGATCAAATTGAATCAATACAAAAGAGGGGGCTAAAAACTATTTTTCCTTCTCTGTGCTATGAGGACGCGCTTAAGAAATCAGGCTTAATTTTGCTGCGCCAGAGGAGGGAGGATGCGTGCATAACATTTCTCAAGCGAAGTTACTCTTCTTCCGACCTGCTACGAAGCTTAGTGCCGCGAGTTGCGCACACAAGACCGTATGCCCTTAGAACAGGAGAATCTGTTTCTGAGCCTGCCTCCCCAAGAACTAACAGATTTGGAAATTTTTGCACCATCAAATACCAGAACCACGTTTAAAATAGCGAAATGTGATATGTCTTAATTGCTGCGGAGCGACCGAAGGGAGCGAGCAACAACATAATCAAGATTAAAGGAAATATATAAGGGGCGACGAATTCTCGAATTCATCACTTTTTACCACAATGCATTGCATTTAACCAGAGTGCATTGCGCCACGAACAACTCAAATAAAAACACGGGGAAGTTCGGTGGGTGAGAGAGTGCATCGTTCGCTGCTCAGACTTAGAGTTTTCTTTGTGGCAAATTTTCTACAGCACGGTTAGAGGTCTTACCAAATTTTAAGACACGCAGGAGTCTTTCAGATGAGTACGATGGTTAACTTGGGTATTGGATTTCAATTCAAGAGCCTTTTTTGACTCGTCCAGGTGTTAAACCTGACAAGAAGATGAGCATTCGCTCTTC